TATATATATATATAAGGCTAGACTAACCCTATGGTAGTACGGCAGTGAAGCATCAGTGCTAACACTGATGTTGCTGTCTTTGATGATGAAGATGATGATGATAATACCACCTGACCCTCAGTTGGTTTAATTCTTCTTCTATCGTATGTAAAGTACCCGCATCCCCAGGTAATGAGGAAAACCTTTGAAGGTGCTTCAAGAATCCATGAATAACACATCCCTAGTATATTGGAATTGAAAATGAACGTGAACTTGGGAGTCTGTTGATTTTCCCAGGTCGAGAAACAGGGAGGGGAGGTGCCTTGTGGTCTCTTTCGAGTACCAGTTCGCGGAGCTGGTCTGTGTGCTTTTTTGTTTCTTAATAATGCTAGTATCAATGATAAAAGTAACTTGTACGACCATATCCCATACTTCAGGCTACGACCGAGGACCAGAGAAGAGAAACTGCCAACATCACGACCGAACTACGCCTTGCACAAAGTATGGCAAATCACCTATTTGCTCATCAAGAGGATGCTGAGAAAAACCCGTCCGACAACACTGCTGACCTGATTACAGCACCACCGCTACTGTTGCAATTTATTCGTGTGTTCCTCTGCAGTTGTCCTCAATACACTCTGCGAAAGAGTGCAGCTCATATCATCCGCGCCATCTATCGGTAGGTTGTCTTTTTTTCTTGCATGATGTCCCCTGTGCACGAGCAGGGTATGAATCTAGCGTAGGGACAAGCGCACAATGTTCAGGAGTTGGAAAGCAGCCCAGAATTGGTGCACCGTATGGAGCTGTTACAGGTCGGTGAGTGGTCACTCCCAGCACAGGTCACTGGCCTATTTTCGTTCACCGCAGTTCGGACTTTTAAACTAATGAACGGTTTCACTTACATCAGCCCTTATCGACCCTTTCCTGGGAATGTCTTGCGAATCTGGTACAATTTCGGCCTCCGCTGGCTCAGTGAAGGACGCGAAAACCTCAGGAACGTTGTTATGCTAATTCTGTTGAATGACTCGCCAAGTTCTCACTGACGTGAAGACTAAATGTGTACCGGCTGGTCATCCATTCAAATACCACTGCCCAGCCTAAAGAATCCTTATTTGGTTTGCCTTGTTCACAGTCCTGGGTTGGATTGCTGGTGTTTATCCATCAATGCCCTGAACTTGTCACCTCTGTTTCGATTTCTCGATGTATCCGAACATTCACCTTGCTATCTAATTGGACGCTCATGTACCCAAAAGGAACAGCAAAACGCATCAATCGCTGTTTATAGGTCGAAGTTGGCCGATTCAGACACGGGCAACATTCGGTTTGGACAAATAACATCGCTTATCACACTCAGCTTTAAATCGGGTTGGTAGTTCCTGTGACGCTGATCGCCAAATCTGATCCCTACCACTGATCCCATAGAAAACACAATGATAATTTGGAAAATACAGTCAATTACTCCCCAGTGTGAGAGACTCAGCTGAATCTCTCGTA